AAATTTGAATTCAGATGTTATTCCTGGTTTTCTCTATAAAAACATGCCCAAAAATGGTCCAGAAGATCCAGATAGTTTTGACACAATCTACGACGACATCAGGACTAAAATTATGCCCGGTGTAAGTAAGCTGACTCACGTCTACAATCATTGTAGAAATTATCCTATTAAGCTCACTCACTGGCAGCATCCAAATTTCTTTGGATATTATCCGATTGGGCGTTGCTATCCTGATATGCTGGCGGACTTTCTTGTTTCTGCACTCACAGTCATTGGATTCTCTTGGGTAGCTCCTTCTATTAAAATTCGATGTGGCTTAGATTAGATAAGAAGCATTATAAGATTCGATACTACAAAAGTCTTTGAATTTGTGTAACTTTTAAATAGGTATCTGCGCTGTTAAGATTAAAGATATGTTTTAGTGAAAGGAGCTTTTAGCAGGGCGTAAACTGTGAACGAACGAACCGTTCAAAAAAGTGTTACATATTGAAAATCTAGGATAAGAATAAAAATTTAATAATAATATCAATCTATCAATGAGAGAGCAATTTGTTAATGTTCCAATTGCGCCCGCACTCGACGGCATTGCAGGATTCCTGTCCAGCTTTGACAGAAATAGAACAGGCTATGATCAACTGGGTTGGAAGAGCATTTGGGCTGCCAGAAACTTTTCTGTTTCAGGTAAGAAGAGGATCGACATCTTGTCTAGTACGGAAGACGCCATGCGGCGCTTCCGGCGCGACATCGCGTTTTTTCTTCCGCAAATTCTAACGTCGATAGTGGCGGTATTGTATATACTAACAACCTTATACCATCAACGCAGCACAGCTGTGCTGTTCTTTTTACGACATCGCGAAAGCAGCGACTGAACAAAATCGAACACTTTTTTAGAACAGTCGTATTGAGATATCCATTAGCTAATGCACGACCTATGAATGGTGTAGCCACTTTGAACCATAATACAAAAGAGTGGAGCTTTCGTGCTGCTCGATTAAGGCGCGAAAGAAGATTCCACTTTAAAGTGTAAAAATGCGCTGAACTTCTACCATAAACAATATTTCGACAGTGTTTTCTAACAAGACTCTGGAATGAGAACGGCAACCGCCTTGTTGGGCTCTTATCCGCCGCACGACTTTTTCATGGCAACTCCAACTTCATGAAAAGAGAAAACCGGAGGTGGACGTGGGAATCACCCAACGGTACGACTCATGCGGAGATTGACCACATTCTCACCAACCAAAGGTGGTGCTTACTGGACGGCTCAGTGGTAAAATCCCTTCAGATCACCGCCTCCTTCGACCAAAAGTGCGATTCAGCCGAAAGTTGGAAAAGAAGTTCTGTCACAATGATAGAGGAAGGAGAGACGGCGTCAGACTGGAGGAGTTCCTAATCACTTGTGACTGGCCCATCGAGGAGGTCCTGACGAAAGACTACGATCTGCTTCTTAGAGGACTGAGAGCCTGTGGGCGCCTCAATGCCTCGCACAAGAAACTTGGAACGAATTTTGAAGGCCACCAAGGATCTGCTAGAGAGAAAGAGAGCATTGAGGCTGGATCCGACTGCAACACATCTCGAGCGACTGGTAGCCAATACCAGTTGCAGATCAG